CTCCGATACCTGGGAGCTCTGGCGCACTCAGGCTCCCCCGGTCTTTCTGTGACCCCAAGGGTCCTGAGACCCCACTGTCCTGCGAGGGTTCCACCCCCGCTTAGCCACTGGAGCGACGTCCCTCAGCGGAGCCGGCTTCTAAAAGGTCCGATTTTGTTCTCCGCGGCTCTAGCACTTGCCAGAAGCGGCCGATGGAGGCCCCCTCCCCCGCCGTCTATCCTCCCAAATATCGCCTCGGATTCACTTCTCCGCACGTCCTACCTTCCAGTAAGTGGTCGCTTCTCTGTTCAGAGAGTTGTTGCTACTCTCCTCTTTGATCTCCTGTTGAGTTCGTAGGTGTTCAGAATGGTTTGATCCCTATTCAGCTGAATTCCTGAGACCAGACGAAATCTAGGTCTCCTACTCCTCCGCCATCTTGCTCCCTTTAAGGTTTTCTATATAATATTTTGTTATCTGCAAATAGTGACAGTTTTACTTCTTCCTTCCCCATTAGGGTGCCTTTTATTTCTTTTTCCTGCCTAATTGTTCTGGCCAGGACTTCCAATACTATGTTGAATAAGTGGTGATGAGAGTGGGCATCCTTGTCTTTTACCTGATCTTAGAGGAAAAGCTTTTAATTTTTCATGGTTGAGTATGATGTCTCTGTGAAGTAGATACAAAATAGCTTCTTCCATTGTCACAGACTGCAGTTTTAACTTCTGACGGAATATGTCATCTATCAGAAAGGTAGTCAAGAGACCTGACCCCATATCTGAGAAAGCAATATTAAAGGCAGTGACATGTTTGTGAATCAGAGTATCTAGCTTTAACTAAAGATATGTATCTTGTATAATAAAGCTGATTTAAAAAAAGACTCACTCCAGGACCATTTAATTTAGAGCTTTTTCTTTCTTTCTTTCTTTCTTTTTTAAGATTTATTTATTTATTTGAGAGAGAGAGAGAGTGTGTGAGCTAGGGTTGGGGGCGGGGCAGAGAGAGGGAGAAAGAGAGAAGCAGACTGCCTGCTGAGGGCGGAGCGGGATCCAGGGCTTGATCTTACCACCCTGAGACCATGACCTGAGCCAAAATCAGGAGTTGGGTGCTTAACTGACTGAGCCACAGAGGTGCCCCTAGAGCTTTTTCTTAACATAGTTTTTGCTTGATGTGGGTACGCTAGTGGTGTGGTTGGGACAACTTGCCTCTCCTTTTATATGATTTTTAATTTCAGAAGATATAGTGTACATAAATTTGTTGAGAGTTGCCTACACAGGTAAAAACTATTTTTTGACTTTACGATGGTGCAAAAGTGATACATGTTCAGTAGAAACCATACTTTGATATTAAATTGTGATCTTTTGGGGACAGGGAGGGGCAGAGGAAAAGGGAGAGAAAGAATCTTAATTCCTTTTGAATTTTTAAAGGTTTTCCCTGATATTAGAAAATTATTTTAAGAAACAAAACAGAGGATTATAGGGGAAGGGAGGGAAAATTAAAATAAGACAAAATCAGAGAGGGAGAGAAACCGTAAGAGACTCTTAACTATAGAAAACAAACTGAGGGTTGCTAGAGGGGAGGGGGGTGAGGGAATGGGGTAACTGGGTGATGGGCATTAAGGAGGGCATGTGATGCAATGAGTACTTGGTGTCATATACAACTGATGAATCACTGAACTCTACCTCTGAAACTAATAATACACTATATATTAATTAATTGAATTTAAATACAATACAATAAAAAAACAACAAAAAAAGAAAATTATTTTGTTAATGTTTTAAAGTTTCTAGATGTCCATGGATCATGCAGAACAATTATAAAAGCACGTTGTTCATCATTTCTGGGGAGCTATCTTAAAGTTTTGGAATTTGGAATGCTTGGTCAGCTAGTGAGAGGAGTTTCTTTGGCCACTAGGTGATACTTGAAATCCAAACCACCTGAATTTTTAATTTTTATTTTATTTGTTTATTTAATAACTTTTTAATTTTTATTCCTGTATAGTTTATAAATGTTAAATGTTATATATTAGTTTCAGGTGTATAACATAGCAATTCAACAATTCTGTATATTACTCAGAGCTCATCATAAGTGCAAACTCTCTGAATTTGACAGTGAATATGGGGTAGGCATTCAAGAGGTTATGAGGCAAGAAAGGGGGAGGGAGGGAAGCGGGACTGCCATGGGTTTTGCAGGGGCTGCAGGAATACTGAATGGAGTATTTCAACTGGGAAAAATATGCCTAACATCTTCTGTTGCCTCTTGGGCTGATATGAAGGGAATGGATTAAGAACACAGTTTTGACTAACCTGAAAGTTTTCATGTGCTCTCTGAGGTATATCAATTTTATTGCTCCAAAAATTTTATAATTATCTGTAACTATTGTTTTAAACCTAAAATAATCAGGAGTAACTCTAGATGAAGTAGATATTTTGTTGAACCACTACCTACATACATAGTTTTCTCTCAATAGACGAGTTTTCAAAATGACATTTTTATACTACTATCAAAATAATTATTTTGTTAGAAAAAATCTTTTTCTCATTTTTCTGGACATCTGAAGGTGTATATAAATTCCTTCTAGGAAAACAAGCTTTACTCTGTAACTGGCTGCAAGTTGGCCTAGGGATACCTCAGATCTCTCTGGGCTATTGTCCTGTGTGAATCAAGTCTCAGTTCACAGTTTGGAAGCTTGCTGGCAAATTATGTCCTTTCTGACAGTACATGCTTTATTCCAGTCACTTGGCTGAGTCATGAAATTGTTCTAGATCACTGGAGGGAGTCTGACATGATGACATGAGATTGAATATTGTCTTAGTTTCCTATTGCTGCTATTACAAATTACAAAAAATTTAGTGGCTTAAACCAAAACAGCTTTACCATCTTAAAGTTCTGAAGTTAGTCTGAAATGGGTCTCATTGGGCTAAAAGCAAGATGTTCCCTTTGGAGTTTGTTTCTAAGGGAAAATCTTTCCTGGTCTTTTCCAGCTTCTAGAGGATTGAATTCTTTGGTCATGGCCTCTTCTTCCATCTTCAAAGCTAGCTATGTAGCATTGTCAGATCTTTCTTTGACACTGACTCCTACCTCTCCTTCCACATTTAAATGATCCTTGTTATCACATGAGACCCACCCAGATAATCCAAAATATTTTAAGGTCAGCTGATTAGCAACCTTAATTCTATCTACAACTGTGATTCTTACTTGCAGGTAATATATATTCATAGCTTCTGAGAATTAGAAGGTGGACATCTTTAGCGGACCATTATTCTTCCTACCATAAGTATTATTAATGCAATGTGTTTTTTCCACCTTTAGAACTCAAAATTGTACATACAGATGGTCCCTGACTTACAATGTTTTGTCTTAGGAGCTTTTGACTTTACGATGGTGCAAAAGTGATATGTGTTCAGTAGAAACCACACTTTGATATTAAATCGTGGTCTTTTGGGGACAGGGAGGGGCAGAGGAAAAGGGAGAGAAAGAATCTTAATGCAGGCTCCATACCCAGTCTGGAGTCAAACGTGGAGCTTGTTCTTACAACCCTGAGATTGATCTCATAACCCTGAGATCATGACCTGAGCGGAAATCAAGAGTTGGACACTTAACTGACTGAGCTACCCAGGCGCCCCTTGAATTGTGATCTTTACCCAGGCTAGCGATATGTGGTTAGATACTCTCTCTTAATACTGGGTAGTGGCAGTGAGCTGCAGCTCCCAGTCAGCCATGTGACCATGAGGGGAAACAACTGATACACTTACAACCATTCTGTTTTTCACTTTGAGTACAATATTCAATAAACTACATGAGATATCCATGCTTTATTATAAAATAGGCTTTGGGTTAGATGATTTGCCCAACTGCTGGTTGATATAAGTGTTCTGAGCATGTTTAAGTTCAGCTAGGCTAAGCTATGATGTTTTAGTGGGTTAGATGTATTAAATGCATTTTTGATTTATGATATTTTCATCTTACAATGGGTTTACCAGGATGTAACTTCATCATAAGTTGAGGAAAATCTGTATAATATATTGTTTTCACTATCGTCAGTTTTCTATTATTGAGGGAGGAGAAGAGAAATATTTAGCTGAGATCAACTTGGACTTAGATATATAGAAAATGAAACATGAAAGCATCTGGCATGTTGGTTGATTGACAGATTGAGTTTCTTCATGTTTATCTTTTTTTTTTTAAGATTTTATTTATTTGACAGAGAGAGACACAGCGAGAGAGGGAAAACAAGCAGGGGGAGTGGGAGAGAGAGAAGCCATCTCTCTGCGGAGCAAGGAGCCCAATGTGGGGCTTGATCCCAGGACCCTGGGATCACGACCTGAGCCAAAGGCAGACGCTTAATGATTGAGCCACCTAGGCGTCCCTCTTCATGTTTATCTTTAACTAGAGTTCCAAATAAAAGGATATTTGGACCATCCAGCCCTAGGCACAGCTTAATCATCATGGACCTGCATGTGATGTTCTCTTCGAGTCATACCAGAAACAGAGTCAATCTGAGCCATCTAACACTCTTTGAACTTAACTTAAAAAAAAAAATCACTTTAAGTTTTTCAATCCTTAATTACTACTAGAGACCTGTTTTGACCATTTCTAAGGCCAGTCTGCTGAAAACAGATTCCCTAATTATCAATTGCCATTTATTTCTCATTACTAACATATGATCTTTTTCTTTTATCTTGTGTTCCTCTGACCTGAGAGTTTTCATCAACAAAAGACTGGAAGAATCAGGCAGACATGGGTAGCCCTACACACACACACACACACACACACACACACACACACACACTCCACCTCTCCCCCCACCTGGAGAAAATTCTTATTTTGGCATGCTGTGGAATGCTGCGTCAAAGCCACAGGTGATATCTCTTCTATTTTAGATTCACCTTTCATGGTATTATTTAACTATCAAAAAATAACAAAAACAGACCAGGTCTGGAAATTTCAGAAGTATGTCTTAGGACGGTGATTATGGGAAGTGGACAGTGTCCAGTAGTGATGAACGTGAGGAGGAAAAGCCAAAACTAGACAAGCTATCTACTTCTTCCCTCCTGCATGCTGGGCAGGGAGCAGCAAATGAACTAAGATACACCGTTCTGAGGCTAGGAAAGCTGCCCATAGAAGAAAATTAACACCTGTGAAGTTCAGCAACACAGATTCACAAGTTTCATCTCCCAAAAGGCAGAAGAGTGGTTCCCAGGAAGACCTAGGTTGGTGTCTCTCTAGCAGCAATGATGAGTTGCAACCAGGAACATAGCAGAAGCAGGCTAAGAACATGGTGGTCAAAGAGGAGAGTGGCATCTCTTCTCCCAAAGACAGTGCTGCCCAAAGTACTGGAAATCATGGCCCTCCTGCCCACCATGGACTAAAAGAGGAGGAAGAGGAGTAAGAAACTTCAGGGGAAGGCCAAGACATTTGGGACATGTTGGGAAAAGGAACCCCTTCCAATTTTACCTCACTAGAGTCTCGGGAATTAAGTCAAAGTATAACTCTGGAGCCCTCCACATCAAGGATATTCTGTCTCCCCTATTTGGGGCGCTTGTATCTTCAGCTCAGTTTAACTACTGCTTTGACGTAGACTGGCTCATAAAACAGTGTCCACTGGAGTTCAGAAACCAATTCTGCTTGTGCACGGAGATAAACGAGACTCGAAGGTTCACTTACATGCCCAGGCCAAGCCTTATGAAAACATTTTCCTCTGCCAGGAAAATGAATGTTACTACCGTATGAAGAAGGCCTCCGAATTGTCACACACACCTCCAACCTCATCCATGCTGACTGGCACCAGAAAACTCAGGGAATATGGTTGAGCCCCTTATACCTATGGATTATACATGGAACCCACAGATCTGGAGAATCAACAACACATTTTAAAGCTGATCTCATCAGCTACTTGATGCCTTATAATGCTCCTTCACTCAAGGAGTGGATAGATATCATCCACAAGCATGATCTCTTTGAAACCAATGTTTATCTTATTGGATCAACCCCAGGACATTTTCAAGGAAGTCAGAAAGATAATTGGGGACATTTTAGGCTTAGAAACCTGGAAGAGCATGCCTCATCCATACCTAAAGGAAAGTCTTGGCCGCATAGTAGGTCAGTTTTCAAGCATTGGGTCTATGGGAGCTGATGACTCGAAATGGTTGTGTTCTGAGTTTTTTTTTTTTTTAAAGATTTTATTTATTTATCTGACAGAGACACAGTGAGAGAGGGAACACAAGCAGGGGGAGTGGGAGAGGGAGAAGCAGGCTTCCCGCTGAGCAGGGAGCCCGATGCGGGGTTTGATCCCAGGACCTGAGGTCAGGGATCATGACCTGAGCCGAAGGCAGACGCTTAATGACTGAGCCACCCAGGCACCCCGTGTTCTGAGTTTAAAGAAAGCTTGGTGATGCTAGGGAAGGAAAGCAAGACCCCAGGGAAAATGCCGTTCCTCTTCACCTGATCTGTCCTTCTGTGGAAAATGTGTGAACCAGCTTACAAGAATATCCGGCTGGGGGCTTTCTTCCCTATAGCATCCAGACAGCTGAAAAACAGAACTGGCTTCATTGGCTGACACATCTGTCCGCAGAAATGCTATGCCACATATTAAAATATATATGAGACCTTCTCCAGAGTTTAGTCAGATTGCTTGGTTCCTTGTCATGAGCACAAATCTGTCCAAGGCCACCTGGGGAGCATTAGAGAAGAACGGCACCCAGCTGATGATCCATTCCTATGAGTTTGGGGTCCCTTTTCCTGCCATCAGCATTTGGCCTGGACAGCTTCAGAGTAAAAGAGAAATTATTCTCAGGGAGCAAGGAGCCAGTGGCTGCCTTTCCTGAGCCATATGACCTGCCTCCAGAACTGTATGGAAGTAAAGATCAGCCGTGGATTTGGAACATTCCTTATACCAAAGCACCAAATACACATGGGAATATGTGGTTGCCCTCCTGAGAATCTTAAAGCACTGTGAAATTTAGGTATAAGACATCAAGCCCCAAATAATAGATGTTCTTATTTGTACTGGATGTTCATCCTTAAAGTTTTATCTATACCCCTAACAAAACTCTGCATAGCTCAAACAAAAATAAAACCAAAACAAATAAAACTTCAGATTCATTTTGATTTTATAAAATGATCTGAAACATACTGCAGCAAGGAGATAAAACCATGACATCACTTATTTTAAATACTTTAATCTTTTAGTAGTTCTGGGGAAAAAAGGAGAAAAATAGTTAAATGGCATATTTAAAAAAATTTTTTTTATTAACGTGATGTAGTATTTGTTTCAGGGGTACAGGTCTGTGATTCATCAGTCTTACACAATTCACAGTGCTCACCATATTAAATGGCATATTTAAAGCTACTTAAAGCACTTACATCTTTAGGATTTAAGCAAATACAATTTATGAGCCAATATTAATTATCATGTGAGACATTTATATGCTTTTTGTGTAGTGTTTTACAATTACTGTCCAAACACACACACATAAAAGGGCCAAATGTGCATTTCATAAAATATGACACATTTCGGGAGCACCTGGGTGGCTCAGTTGTTAAGCGTCTGCCTTAGGCTCAGGTCATGATCCCAGGGTCTTGGGATCGAGCCCCGCATCGGGCTCCTTGCTCAGCGGGAAGCCTGCTTCTCCCTTCCCCACTCCCCCTGCTTGTGTTCCCTCTCTCACTGTCTCTCTCTGTCAAATAAATAAATAAAATCTTTAAAAAAAATGACACATTCCTAGTATACTTAGGTCTCAAGAGTACAGTGGAATGAGAAGGAACAGTAATATATAGCAAATTGCAACCCTAATTGGGTCCCACAATCTTACCCAAATAAATTTATTTTGTGAGACAATTTATGGATTAAAAGCAGATTCCTTTAAAATGAATATTATATTTCTAAATTTATATCAATGTTCTGCAGGAGATGCATACATGTTGTGTTTTTATGATATTGTTTGCCTATTTTCTACTAGGTCATTTGTCATTTTGTTATTGATTTGTAAACATTCTTTATATATTATGGATATTAATCCTCTTATGGTGTATAATGCATTTATAAATTTTATTCTACTCTGATTATCTTTTAATCTTATAGTGATTTGAACCTTCTCCTGCATGCATTTTGTTATTAAGATATACATTTTATGTAGTCAGATTTTATGATTTTTAATAATTCTCTTCTGTCATCATTATTAGCTTTATTTCCTTTGAGGTCATTTATCCTTATTGTTCATTTAAGTTCTTCTCTTATGTTGTTTATTTTCCTGAAACTATCTGGTGACGTATATTTAAGCACGATGGTAGATTAGTAAAGGCAGCTGAATGTGGTTCCTCTGTAGTGGGTCATGCCTGTTTTGCCAATAGGCCTGTTTCTTGAATTGGAGGGGTGAATGTAGACTTTGTATGTATATTAGTATGTGTGCTCAGGGAGTGTTGACTAGCAGACTTTATTTTAAACTCAGTGACTGAAAAGCAAGCAAGCTTACTTTGTTTCATCTTACCTCTTATACAGTTGTCAAATTACTTTTGGAGTGAAATATTTAGAAGGCTAAACACCAGAATGTTAACAGAGGGAAGATTATGGGTGGTCTATTTTCACCTTTTTGTTTATGTGTCTTTCTGATTTTTCTAGCATTAAATGTTAATTCAACTTCCTCACATCCTTAAACAAAGAGCAACAAAAGAATCTTGCTCAACTCCTCCAGCCTTTTTAAGAGGGAATTAGTAGTCCTATTTCTTGCCTAGATTCAGCCTATTCCAGAGTTTAGGAAGATAACATCTTAAGTAGAATTCAGAGAATATTTCTAAGAAATTAAACACATATAAAGTTCATTTATAAGTAAGGTATTAAAAGCAATTTGTACAACCATGGGTCACAGTGGGAGGTGCAGTAACAAATGTTGATGGGTGATTTTTTTTTTAATGACCATGACTAAAATGCAGCATTTAGTTATTCATCTCAGCCTACTCAAGGGGAAATCTATTAGTCACAAAGGGCTTTGAAAATGAGGAGACTGTGTACTTCTTATGCCCCACAAAGATCGCAGAAAGTCCCTCTGATATTAAGGAGTTGACAAACAGATTTAGGAATCCACTAAAGCAAGCAAGTAATATTACTTGTAACAATGCCATCTGTGGAAATCAGAAATATGAATTCTCTCAATAGAGGCAGCTCTCTGAGTGCTGAGTGGATATAAGGAGGTGGGTGGGAGGAGGATGTCCAGCCAAGTGCATGACAATAAATTTTGTGAACAAAGCAACCTCTTCATCTTGTATTTGAATATTTTGTCTTTGTCTCCCACAGATTGACCCGAAGGAAGCAACTGGAGAGGCAGGTTAGCACAATGGCTAAGGCCTCTACTTTTAGGTTCGTGTAGACCTGGGTCGATCTTAGCTCATTCCTTACTAGCTGTGTGACATTGGACACATTACCAATTCCCTAAATTGTAGTTTTCCAATTTGAAAGAGAGAGGTATTAGGTTTGTACTTCATAGTGTTCTTGTAAGGCTTAAAGTAAGTA